TAAATATTTTGTAAAAACATACTGAAAAATGTTTGTGCAGAATGACAAGATCTTTAATATGATATCAAGAATTAAGGGCTGACTTGTCATGTTAGGGGCCGAGAGGGGCAAAACGTATTAAATCAATAACTCTTTAACGATCAATATTTTGGTATACATTGCTGAAGCAAAAATGTTTATCTTAACAATTTACAACCATATATTATGATATATACATCATATGTTACATAATTAAGGGCCATAAAGGGCCAGAATGCCAAATCTTTGGCACTTTAAATTTCGAAAGTGGGAAATATTTTGATAACCAATATTGAATAAAAGATGTTCAAAATAACGTTCTAAACAATATTTAACCTTTCAATTTTTGCTAAACTTCCCCATTAAGGAGTTGAAGGGCTGGCCCCTAAATACTTCTTTTGCAAGTATATCAGAAACGAAAAAGAATTTCTGAATAGTTCTTGAACAAAAAGTGTTCAAAATCATGAGAGCTTTAAAGTGATGTGAAGAAAAAGGGGCTGGCGCCTCAAAATAGGGGCTGATAGGGGCCGAAAGTCTTTGAACAATAACTCTTTAACGATCAATATTTTGTAATGCATTACTGAAGCAAAAATGTTTATCCCAACAATTTTCAACTATATATTATGATATTCACATCATATGTTACATAATTAGGGGCCATAAGGGACCAGAATGCTAAATCTTTGACGCTTTATATCTCAAAAGTGGGAAATAATTTGATAAGCAATATTGAACAAAAGTTATTCAAAATAATGTTCTAAACAATATGCAACCTTTTGATTTTTGCGAAACGTCCCCATTAAGGAGTTGAAGGGCTGGCCCCTAAATATATCCTCCGCGTACTTCTTGGAAACGAAAAAGAATGTTTGAATAATTGTTAAACAAAAAGTGTTCAAAATCATGAGAGGTTTAAGGTGATATCAAGGAAAAGGGTCTGACCCCTTAAATTAGGTGCTGAGAGGGGCCGAAAGTATACAATCAATAACTCTTTTAATGATCAATATTTTGTAATATATTACTGAACCGAAATAGTTCATTTTCACACTCTTTGTTTAAATAACATGGATGTTGATATCATATGTTACGCAATAAGAGGTCTTTAGGGGCCAGATTGCATAATCTTTGTATATATCTCGAAAAGGAAGAATATTTTGATAAACAATATTGAAGAAAAGACGTTCAAAATAATATTCTGAACAATATGCACTCTTTCATTTTTTGCTAGACGTCCCCATTTAGGACTTAAAGGGCCGGCCCTTAATATTTCTTTTGCATATATCCCGAAAACAAAGAAGAATTTCTGAATAGTTCTTGAACAAAGAGTGTTCAAAATCATGAGAGCTTTAAGATGATATCAAGAAAAAGAGGCTGACCTCTCACATTAGGGGCCAAGAAGGGCCGAAAGTCTTTAATCTATAACCCTTTAATGATCAATATTTTGTTAAACATTACTAAAGCAAAATTGTTCGTCTTAACAATTTATTTATATCATTATATTTGAACGAAAATCTCAGTCAAATTCTTATCTCATCTTATCAAAAATCGGACGGAAGACCCACTCGTTGCTCGCAACGAGATCGCATCTAGTTATTATTCTTTTTTCTCCTTACAAAATTTGTGCAGAGGATTTCTCGGAGATGGCTAGTTCGATTTTATTCAAATTTTCAAGGTAGATGCGTTGACATCTGAAGTTAATTCCGGCTAGTCTGTTAAGGGATATTTACTTCCGGTCCGGAGTTATCGCCCTTTTATCAAAATTCAGAGGATCTCCTTGTCTGCGATGGAACTCAAAAACGGCTTAAGCTAGAGCGCTGAAATTTTCAATGATGATAGAGGACATGTTGCCATTTTGCACCTGGGTTTGGATATTTTCCGAAAGTGCCTAGTATGGAAGCTCGGTAGGGGTCGAAATTTAGGACACGAATCATGAGTGAATTTTTGAGACATTTTGTATCATATCTTTTAAAGTATAAATATTTTGTAAAAACATACTGAAAAATGTTTGTGCAGAATGACAAGATCTTTAATATGATATCAAGAATTAAGGGCTGACTTGTCATGTTAGGGGCCGAGAGGGGCAAAACGTATTAAATCAATAACTCTTTAACGATCAATATTTTGTAATGCATTACTGAAGCAAAAATGTTCATCTCAACAATTTACAACTATATATTATGATATTTTTACATCAGATGTTACATAATTAGGGGCCATAAGGGGCCAGAATGCTAAATCTTTGACGCTCTATATCTCAAAAGTGGGAAATATTTTGATAAGCAATATTGAACAAAAGATGTTCAAAATAATGTTCTAAACAATATGCAACCTTTGATTTTTTGCTAAACGTCCCCATTAAGGAGTTGAATGGCCGGCCCCTAAATACTTCCTTTGCAAATATCTCAGAAACGAAAAAGAATTTCTGAGTAGTTGCTGAACAAAAAGTGTTCAAAATCATGAGAGCTTTAAAGTGATATGAAGAAAAAGGGGCTGGCCCCTTAAAATAGGGGCTGAGAGGGGCCGAAAGTCTTTGAACAATAACTCTTTAACGATCAATATTTTGTAATGCATTACTGAAGCAAAAATGTTCATCTCAACAATTTACAACTATATATTATGATATTCACATTATATGTTACATAATTAGGGGCCATAAGGGGCCAGATGCTAAATCTCTGACGCTTTATAAAAGTGGGAAATATTTTGATAAGCAATATTGAACAGAAGATGTTCAAAATAATGTTCTAAACAATATGCAACCTTTAATATTCTGCTAAACGTCCCCATTAAGGAGTTGAAGGGCCGGCCCCTAAATATATCCTTCGGATATATCTTGGAAACGAAAATGAATTTTTGAATAATTCTTGAAGAAAAAGTGTTCAAAATCATGAGAGCTTGAAGGTGATATCAAGGAAAAGGGTCTGACCCATTAAATAAGGGGCTGACAGGGGCCGAAAGTATACAATCAATAACTCTTTAATGATCAATATTTTGTAATATATTACTGAAGCGAAATAGTACATCTTCACACACTTTATCTAAATAACATGATGTTGATATCATATATTACGCAGTAAGGGGTCTTTAGGGGGCCAGATTGCATAATCTATGGCGCAATATATCTCGAAAAGGAAGAATATTTTTATAAAGAGTATTGAACAAAAGACGATCGATCAAAATAATATTCTGAACAATATGCACTCTTTCAATTTTTGCTAGACGTCCCATTTAGGACTTGAAGGGCTGGCCTTTAATATTTCTTTTGCATGTATCCCGAAAACAAAAAAGAATTTCTGACTAGTTGTTGAACGAAAAGTGTTCAAAATCATGAGAGCTTTAAAATGATATCAAGAAAAAGGGGCTGACGTCTCACATTAGGGGCCAAGAAGGGGTGAAATTCTTTAATCTATATTCCTTTAATGATCAATATTTTGTAAAACATTATTAAAGCAAAATTGTTCGTCTTTACAATTTATTTATATCATTATATTTGAATGAAAATCTCAGTCAAATTCTTATCTCATCTTATCAAAAATCGGACGGAAGACCCACTCGTTGCTCGCAACGAGATCTCATCTAGTTTTCTTTATAATTGTTTGAAAAGTTACATACAAAGGAATTATGATGCAAGACATTTTCCCAGAATTACTTTGTCTTGTGAATTTAGTATATTCTTCAAATCCAAGTCCAAAAGAATAGAGTAAGTTTTCTTATAAATATACAAGATTTTAAAGTAATCCTACTGTTAACTTATTTTTGCTGACATTAAGTATGGTACATTAAGATATATCGACGACATTCTAACAACTAAAATAGTAACTTCTATCGTATGTTGACTTGATATAATTTTACACTTGAAAGATAAGAGAACACAGAATCTGTCACATCTGATTCAGATTTAGATGTTTTACTGACTATAAACGAACAGGGCTGGGACGATATAGCGTTTTGCCGTATCGATACATATCACGATATTTGCATGACGATAAGATACGTATCACGATATTTCCATTGGCTTTACAGTACATGTAAAGATCAATAAGTTTTAGAACAAATAACATTATATATATATATATATATATATATATATATATATATATATATATATATATATATATATATATATATATATATATCAACATTTGTGTACAATCATAGAAAAAAAAAGAATTAAGAAATGCAACTTAAACATGCTTTTGTTTTACATTTATGAATGGCACAGAAAAGTGAACATCTTTTTTAATTGATTAAACTTTGATTTGATTTGATTTCTTCTTGTAAGCCAATATCTAAATTTCATCTCCAAAAATAGCAGCTTATCTACCAGCTCAGGGTCTAGACAGGATTGAGTAGCAGTAATAATATCAACTGCACAACTGAACACCCTTCACCAGCTACAGATGTACCAGAAATACCAAGGAATGCCTGTGCAACAATAGAAGGCTTTGGGAATTTGTCAAGGTGGCTTTTCCACCATTGTAATGGTTCAGCATTTAAAGCGATATTGGATTCTGATCTGTATCTCTCTACTACATCGTGGACTAATTCAGAAGTACTCCTCCCTGGAGTTGCATTGACAATAAATACATCTCCATAAAATCCTTCATTGCTCCTTTTGAATGTCTGATTTGTCTTCAACTGAAATATTTCTATAAAATAAAGACATGACATGAGCTTCCCGTAAAACACTACTTAATTTGATTAATATGAAACAATGATTTATATCATCATTGATATAATCAAGTTGAGGTAACTGGCTTAAATTAGCGCTGGGGTTCGATCATTGTTTGTTATCATTACCTTTTTCATAATCAGAGAGTTCGATATATCGAGGTTATGTTTTGTTTGTTTGTTTTGTTTTTTTTTCACATGTAGCAATATTTAAATACTTAATACCTGCGTATGGTGTTTATGTCCTCCAGTTTTAATATCAAATGCATGTTTTAAATACACCTACGAATAATTTCTAAACTGAAGTAGACAGCATGAAATTAGGTAGATGATACAAGGTTATTGGAAATCTCGTTTAAAGTAACCGTTCAATAACTGTAAGGCCATTATTTGTTTACACTGATTTTCTGCTCCATATCTGTCGTTGAAATTGGTTGATCTGTTTGCTCTGCTGATTTAGAAAAATTTAGTTGAACTTTCGATTATTGTTTCACATGTTCATATTATACACTTAAATAAAAAAAAATGAAAATGCAAAACTTCAGAAAATTTATTAATATTTTAATTTTAACCCTTCCCGATTCAAATCAAATCGATTCCGATGAAAGAAAAAAAAAAAGAAAAAAAAAAACAACTAATAAACAAAACTATTTACTACTAATATTATGTTGCCATTTAAAAAATCTTTATATTTTCAATTTATTTGTTAACCATATGACTGCCAGGTCTTTTGATAATATTATTATATTTGCATTTTTTATAAATAATATAGTGTTCAGTGCTTTCGTAGCTTGTCTTTTAAATTGTTGGTACATTTCATAATGCAATGTCTACATTATTTTTCTTTCTGTTTAAGTTACTATAGATTGCAAAGACCTCCATGAAAATGGTCACACTAATTCCGGTGTGTACGAGATTTATCCCTATGGTACCAGCTCCCGTCCTGTCAAAGTTTACTGTGATATGGAGACAATGGACGGAGGTTGGACGGTATCTTTTTCATTTTTAAAGCTTTGGTGTAGGAAAAGTGAATTTTAATTTTGATGTTCAAATGATTATAAAAGACAGGGATGATGGTACGTATTGTGGTTCTGTACATACGGTGACAATATGCACCTTTACCTTATCTCACTGCATGTATTGTCATTTTTATCGGTTTACATTGTCGCCGGCGGAAAAATTAATAATGTATATAATGTAGCTGTAGACCATATTTTTTTCAATTGGTGGCACTGTAGCTGTCTGGTCGGCCCTCTATTTTTTTCAGACTTGCAGCTAATAACGTTGCAGCCGAGAATATGTGCTTACCCTCACTGCAGATATTGCTGCCCCTTTATTTGGGTTGATTAATATTTTTGTGCTTTCTGGATTCATTTTGATATATCACACAGACTTGAAAAGTATGCATAATTCATGATGAAGTATGGTACGTAATACACGCTGCATTTCTCAGTCAATAATAGATTGAAAACTGAAATTATCCTCAGGTTTAATGAGATTGCATGTTCTTTAATAAAAAAAAATGAATTCTTGTGAAACAGCTTCAATAAAAACCTCAATACTTAATATAAGAATGTGTTATTAACATATTAAATATTCATTGAAAAGAACCAGGAGCATCTCTCCCTTTCTTTCTCCGATCCAAGAAAAATTCTCTTCTGGCTACAAAATATGCTTCCTGCCGATAAGTTAGGTATATATTGTACTTAACCTGCAGGGAAGGAAATATCTCATTCCAGCACATATTCTTGCCGGTATCAATGATGGACGAAATGTGCATTCAAGGTGGAGTATTAATATGTACCAATGGACGACAATACTTGCCCTATGGTAGGCATTGTTGCCAGTGATAATAGCGAGCTCCATAGACAACGTGTACGAACGGAGGAAATTCTGGTTTAAATCTACAGAAATTTTTGTCAGTCCACGTGCAAAAATTCCAAACTTCAAATAACCCTTTGCGGTGCATAACAATGGGATTGCTTAAGCATAGCAACAACTCACTTTAAAAAAACAAATAGCAATTTAATGCAATTTCCATACCATAAAACTATAGTTTGTATTCTCAAACTAAATGATTTTAAATGTGACGTCATAATTTTGTCACTTTTGTCGCTCAGGTATTACAGAAATTGTCGGGAAAGTTCATAGTCTCGGTGCGTGGAAGTCAGAATATTTCTATTTTGTCAATTTTTTTAAAGTTGAAATTATGAGACGCAGTAGACGCAGACTAAAGGAGTTTACTGAAAAGTGTAACGTCAGAATGCAAAGTGTATAAATTTTAGTTGTGGAATAATTATTACGAAAATAAAACAGGGCTCGTCTTAAAGGTTTCACTTTCGGACATATTATATACAAAGCGATAAAATGCGCCGTCACAGACAGGCAATATACACATTCTGTCTTTCTTCATTGCATATTAAAAGGAATAAATGTAATCTTTTGAAGGTTATCCAGCAACGAGTGGACGGATCCCTGAGCTTTGATAAGGCATGGTCAGAATATAAGAATGGATTTGGTGCCCCGGGACAGAATATCTGGATCGGTAAATCTATAGATCTACATTAAAAATTGTCAATTTGTCAATTTTTAGCAAATGATCAATGTTGGGACATATCAATTTCAAAAGAAAACAAATATTTGGTTTTACCTCTGTGTAATGTGTTCGGTTATATTCAGTGATAGTGCTGTATTGCATTCGCAAAGAACGATTTAAACAAAGATAGATAAAAAAACGAGGAAAAAATATTACTGTTTGAAATGACCGTACTCGAAAACTATTCAGTAATAGAAACAATTTAACTGAAAGGTTTATATATTAAAAGTTTTGAAGAATAAATTGTAGATGAAAAGGATTTTAATTTCTCATAGTATCTTTTTTTTAAAAGCATTGTAGTACTCTTATAAATATATCTCAAAACAGGAAATGACGCAATCCATCAGTTAACAAAGGGGAATGACTCATCCCTCTATGTTTCCATCACACTAGCGAATGGTAGCAGACTATATGCGTTGTACGATCAATTTTCTGTTTCCAATGAAGCAGACAAGTATCAGCTCTTTCTGGCAGGGTACCTGGACGGAACCTTGGGTACGTAACAGGTCAAAGGTTACAGAATTTGAAAAAGGTAAATATTAAGAACAGTGATCGATCAAAAAGAAAAATTACAAATAATACAAATCTGTCAACAGGGCATTTTTATTTCGGTAAAATATGAAAACTTAAGTCCAAATTTCATCTGCATCACTATACATTTACTTAAGTAAATGTATAGTGATGCAGATGAATAAAATCCGTACCGTAGTATTTTGAAAGTTAAGATTCTACGTATTTCTTTTCAATCAAATGCTTTATACATGTATAATGTATGATAGTTTTTTGTTATATTTAAACATTTTTTTTTAAATTACATGCAATATATAGTAACAAAAATATGAACAATACAAACAGCATATAATTATTTTATTCGTTTTTTGAAACTTTAATTGTTTATTTATATTTCGCAACATTATTGTATTATAATTATATTTTATCACCAGAGAATTTTGTTATTTATTATACTTTGTTAATATAGAAAACGTTTATAATACCAAAAGAAATCTTAGAACGAGTTGTCGAAAATTACTTCTTCCGGCCGAGATCAAGTGGATGTCAGAGAAATGTCAATAAACGCGACAAAATACTGCTGGACTGTCGCTTGCAATTATTTTATTTTAATAAATTGCTCCACTCGATGCTGATGAACAGCCCAACTGATTCAAGAAACCCTTAAAGTAAGTCGATAATAAGTCCAAGTAATAAGCCTATATGACGGGTAGTTGCAGGCCTTATTGATTTCATAGTATAGATAGGTAGACCTATGTATACTTATCATTTCGTCAGCTACAAGTCTATGATCAAAATTTATTCAAATACACTGTATTAAAACATGTAATTTTGAAACTTGTTTATTAAACGATAATGTATTTTGTTTAATTTAGAACAGTATTTGATTTAAGATGTACTTTATAGCAATCCTTTTCTTTTTTGGTCAACTAAACCCTGAGTAAACACCTTCCTTTTTCACATAGGTGACAGTATGTTAGACAATGAGAATTCTGGTGATAATTTGTCTGGGATGTACTTCAGTACTGCAGACAGAGACAACGACATGTTGGTCATAGGAAGCTGTGCTGCTGTCCACAAAGGAGGCTGGTGGTTTAATCAATGTTACAACGCCTTCCTTAATGGTGCCTGGTCCCCAGGATACTGGTACGAGCCTTGGACTCCTACGATAAGGATTGGGACTTCAGTGAGGAAGACAATGATGATAATCAAACGTCACTAGGTACCGCATCAGCACTCGTAGAAAAGAAATTAGTCCGAACTTTGGGGAGAAATTTCTTTTTTAAAAGTTAATTTTGGGCTTAATTTAGGAACTTCTAACTTAATTGGAGTACTATTTGATATTTGTCAGTAAATAGATTTCCCTTAAATTTGACAATAGATTTCAGACCCCCAAAATTATCTAAGTACAGGAAGGGCGTTTTATCACTGGCCTAATGCCTTTCTTGCAATCTGAATAAGAGCCATAACCACATTTAGACGCATTTTGAATGAATTTTTTATTTTCAAAATTGTTAGAATAGAAATATGAAGTAATATATTAAAGGTTTTTTTTAGATTTACCTTGAAATCAAATTTTGTTCATGAATTTTAGAAGAGCTAAGGAAGATTCTTTTGGTGGGTATTCTGGGATCACTGGAAATTAAAGTCAGTATCGTTCCTAATATGGATTATATAATTCTTGATAATTTCATTAACGTTTTAAACGATGTTATTTAATATATTCAGTGTTCTTTGGCTTTAATATGGTTTCCGAAGAATAGATTTTACAGATTTGTATTTTTCATTTCTGACATTTTTATTTGCTTATCCTTACAGATGATGATAACTAAAATGGGTTAAGACTAATGCTGTAGAAACTTCCAATGGATGGCATGTTTCTCTTGTTTCACTCTTTTAAGTTTGTTCATTCTGGATTTATAAACGATTTGTCAATAATCAATGACCACAGCAAATAATGTAATGACTCTAAATAAAATATAACAGCTAGACATCTTTTGTTTTTATTTAACACATTGGGTTCACGGCGGCTGTGACTGATAGACAGGGGATGTTTTCTTCTAGACACTTGATCCCACCTCTGGAATTTCCAGAGGTTTGCGTTTTATACCCTGTTGACCAGGGATGGGGTAATTGAAAAAAAGTAATTGTAATTGAGTGTAATTAATTTCATTTTTCAAAGTTATTGGATATAGTTTGTAATTGACCATTTTATCAATTACTTGTTATTTAATTCATTACACTGAACAAATACCATGTAATTTCAATAACATCTGAATTACATTTCAATTACTTTTCATAATACATGAACATAAAATACTTATTTAAAAATATGTGTATTTAAAAATATTTTTATCACAGTCACGTTTTACAGTTCTTTTTATTCATTTATAACATCTTCAGCTCATTTTTCCAAAATAGTAACTTTCTTTCCATCCTAAAAATGAATTTGATATACATGTATTGGCTTATTTTATAATATTAGTTTATTTTATAATCATAACCACCTAAAGAATTGAAACAAATGAAATGATTCTCTAAAATTTTGTTCAACCCTTCTATGGTACAACCTAGAAGCAATTCAATTTTTTGATAATCAAACTTGAAGAATATGAAATTGTTTTATGACAATAATTTGTCATTACGTCCTGTCTCTTTACTCTTCAAATCACAGAGCTGTAAAATGCTTTCAAAACGATCCTCCAAGGCATTATTTATAAGCCACTTTGTTTAATTTCAAAGATACCACCAATAGAGTTGTTTTATTTCATGCAATTAAGAATGCTCTACTATTTACATAATTCAGAAAAGAAATTTTAATTAAATCATTATTTCAACATTCAAGAGATAACTTTGAAATGCATCTATGATCTAAAAATAGCTATTGTATAATTCAAGTATTATTTATTGTGTGAAAATAGTCAACGTTTGCAAGTTAAGGCGTTAGGTTTACCTACAAATGAAATAATCAGAGAGTATTTTACATTTGATTCAGAAAATCTTGGAAACTCGCTTATAACTAAATTTCATTAAGACATTCGATTGATAAACGTACATGTAGGACTAGGTCTTGTGATGAAACACACAAACATCAAAGGCACACCTGGCGCTATTTATTTTAAATATACCTCCTACCCAAAATTTACATATACATGCATTAATTCTTCCAAGATGTTTAAAAATAAAATTAAAGTAATTTAAATGTATTTAATTACATTACAGGTAATTGAGAGTAATTAATCACATTTGAAAAAAAAATTATTGTAATTGAAAGTAACTGACAAAATTATGAATGTATTTAAAATATTTAATTGCATTTCAAAGTACTTGACCCCAACCCTGCTGTTGACGGCTTTGTATTTTTGCAGTTTTTTTGTGGACCCTTGTTCAATATCTTCATTTTTTTCACACTTGGAAATGCCTGGGCGAAGGATTTTCGTAACGTCTTTTCAATGCCCTGAGAAAAACTGTTCCGCGCAGCATATTTTTCTAAATGTTTGTCATTTGGTCTTCATTATATAAGACACAGTGCAATATCCTCATGACCAACCGAATAATGGAATCACCCTTCGCAACCATTTTATCGATTTCAGTTATGTGGTCCAGATACATGTATTACCCTACATATGAAATGTTCTTCATCACTTTGTATTTTCTTTTTGTCATTTCGATTTTCTCATATATCATTTTTTAGTAATTGGTCCTTGTAATTAGTCATATTTTGATGCTAGTATATTGTACACGTTCACAGGTCTTTTATTACTCAAGCGGTTAGCCATTTCAAGAAGCTTATCGTACTAACAAGTTCATTTTTTATGTAAAATTCTTCCATACATCTATTTGAATATACTCTTGCAACACATGTACATTTGCGTTACAGAAGTCAAATTAAATTTGAATCTCAGTTGGTCTGGAAAACGCTGACAGGCCTGTTTAAAGTCTTTGATGTGTAGTAAAAACAGGGACTGGCAAAGAGTCTCATGTTACATTATTCGCACTCGTAAGACGAAGGAACTGCTTCTCTGCAATCACCAATAGTTGACCAAACTGGCCAAGTCCTTAATGGCTTTGATTCTGTTTAGTCCTTTTGTTGTCCGGTAGAAAGATGTTCAACATCACCAGGGTGGGCTGTTCCTCGCACACGAAGCAGATTTCGAACTAAAGTTTGCTTCATTTTCGGACATTTCTGATGAAAAACTTGTATGCTTGTCAGGATATTGAACCTTTCTTACATCCTTCAAACTGTCACGATAGCTCAGTCAGTAGAGCGCTCGATCCGTGATTGGAAGGTCGTGTGTTCGAATCACACCCGCGACTGACCTAAGTCGATAAAAAATAGATAGCAACTGTTCCTTCGCCAAACGTTCAGCACTTTGAAGTGAACGTTGCGGGTCTTTCGGATGAGACCTTAAAAACAGAGGTTCCGTGTGACGGTAGGCGTTGGCACTATAAAGAACCCTCACTGCTCAGTGGCCCTGAGTGTCGATGAAATGTATGGAGATAACGAACAGTATTCAAGTTCAAAAGGTTATGAAACAATACAAATTTTGGAGCAGAGCAAACACGGACATCTAATACATCAGAGGTGGGTGACGAGTAAAAGTCTAAATTTGAGGCCCTTCACGGGTATATATATAGTGACATCTCTCTGAGTGAAACATTCTCGAACGGGACGTAAAACAACATACAGTAAATCAATCAATCTTGCATCCTTCAGTCAAAAGAAATTAAACGAGCTACCGAAGAAAGGACTTTAAAACTCATCACTCAATCAAAATATCTTCTTGCAATAAAAAAAGAAGGAATACTTGGACCATAATTCATTTTGTATCGTTATCGCAAGAAGATATTTTGAAAATGAGTGATGAGGAACTATACTCAGAATAAAATTGGGGAAAACTAAAAAAAAAATAAATACCCCTATCAAATGGCTTGAGCAGTATAACATAACCTTCGAAATGACAACCTCCAGAAAGCTTGTGTAAATTCTATATGAAATTTTAGGAATAAAGGAACTATCAATTCGTGGATTGGAAAAACACAAGACGCACAAAAGTGATATCAGAGAAAAGGAGAATATAATGTGGTCAAAAGGTATTCTTAGGTCAGATATTCCCCAAAAGTTGCTATATACACTCGTTCTTATATTGGGACTATACTTTCCATTAAGAGCTGGACAAGAGTACAAAAACCTAAGGCTTGGACCGATATCAAATCACCGTCACTTTTGACTGGTGGAACAAATTATTTCGAATTCAAGTAGAATGTCCATGGCAATAGAGGAGGACTACAAATAAAATAAAGAAAAGGCAAAAGTTAACCAGGGCCTCCCAAAGAACGGTGTCGAAAGATACCCAGTTTGGGATGTCTTGAAACATATTGCCTTAAGGCAAACACATGTAGTCAAGACTAAAGTATTTTACTTCTAAATACTATCTCCATTTTGTTGTTAGGGAAATGTGATTCTTTCTGTGGAAAAAAGGTGAATATAACGAACACTGGATCGATCTCATAAAAACTACAAAAAAATAGAAAAGGGTCCAGTGAATTTTGAATTGTGTGGCTGATGTGTGTTGCCTAAATGCACTAACCTTAAGGGGACAGTGTCTCACCAACACCTTCACGAGTATCGTTCCCCTTAACCTGCGATCCGCATATCTTTGTTTATCCCATCTAACTAACAGGCTGTGGTTTTGAAGCAAAAAGATAAATAAAAATTCATATTTAACTAAGAAATACATATTCCCAGAAACAAGGCGAGAAAGGCCGGAAGATGACATTATACACAGTAAATTATTTCTCCATGCCATACCTTAATTTAAAAAAAAACTTTGTAAAAAATGCTGAGAACATGAAAATCTCACTTGAAGAGATCTTAAGCCGAAATTGTCATCTTATTCACGACAATCTATCTTTTTTTAATTTATCTATATTAAAAAAGTAATTGTAAATTGTAAATAAACATCTTTACATTTATGAGATTCTTACACGCTCACAATATCCCAATCCATTATTCACACTTCTTATGTTGTAAATAATAATAAATACAGTTTGTCACTTTGTCCTCCTAAACCTTATACATATATTTTCCAAATTATTGAATACACATATTCTTTTAAAAGACAGTTTGAGGATAAACAAAAGAGAAGAAAAAAAATGGTAATATAAATAAACTGAACCCAGGAACAAGTGCAAGAGAAATTGTGACATGGCTCCATTTAA